GTCTTGTGTTTCTGGGAGTTCGGCTCTGTCACAGTGTGACCTGGGGAGCTCCGGCAGGTGGCCACTTGTGTCTAGCTAACAAGGTGCCGGGTGTCAGGCCCCCCCACCGCGACTGTGTGATATGCTTCAGTGTCAGTCAGTCTCTACCTGTTTCTCCGTGACGTCCGGCTGTCTTCCTGTGATTTGAGAATGCATTCAACTTGGCAAAACTTTGGCAAAAGTTTGCTAACTGCTAAGTTAGGAAAACTGTCAAAACTCATAGCAAAACTCTGAAGAAATAAATACATTCCTATATAATAATATTTTTCAATCTAAGCCTTTAAAATTATCATAACTCTGAATTCATTAACAAAGTTCATAATGATAATGCTTTTTGACTGTTTAAAAGAAGCGGTTGTGCGTTATATGTAATATAACATTAGTGAGTGATTTTCACCATGCCGTGCAAGCTGGAGTTGAGTAAATAACATGCCTGTCATTAGGGCCGTACGTTTGGTTTTTAATAAATGTGCAGCAGTTCTGACCATAGTCAGTCTGGCCAAGCCACTGCAAACACACTAGCATGAATGTACTACATGACTTATGAGGTAACTGTCAGAGTGCCTCCGGCGTTTCGAGTGACGATTGGCAGCAGTGATGGATAATGCTATTATGATGCTGCGGAGCCATAATAAAGAGTCATGTTGCTGAGACAGTTTCAGATGGACACACTGACTGATATGGCGGTTGGGATCCGAAGGGAAGCGAGAACAGTAAGAACGTGGTGAAAGTCTTTATACTGTAGGTGTTGACAATGAAAAGAAAAATCCAAACCAGCCACTCTTGTTATACAGTACCAGTCAAAAGACTGGAGAGATCTGCTTTTAATGCATTTGTCTCTATTTTGGCTATGTTATCCATCCTGTAGTAAAAGGTAATGAAGTAATACATAAGAATTGCAATGGCCAAGAGAAGTGTTCAACATCTCAAAATGTTCTCAAATTTTAGACTCTCCAAATAGCCCCTTTTGCTTCAGTGACGGCACTGCAGACTCCTGACATATTTTTTAATCATTTTCCAGATGTAGCCACCTGGAATGCTTCTCCAACAGCCCTGAAGGAGTTTCCAAAAGTTCTAGGCATAAGTTGGACACCTTACTCTTACTCTTCGATCCAACTCATCCCAAAGCAGCTCTATAGGGTTTTGGTTGGGGGGTTGTGGGGGCCAGGTCAGGTCGTCTGTCAAGGTATTCCATCTCTTTCACAAGATAATACAGTATTTACATAATCTCGAGGTGTGCTTTGGGTCATTATCCTTCTGAAAAATTATTTTTAGTAGATGTGTCCAGACACAATTTTTTTGTCCACTGCTATTTTTAACACGAGTAAGATATTTTTTCTTCATTTATCTATTAAAAATAGCTTCAAAGCTGTGGAATTATGAACCATTCTGATACGGATGTTATCAGGACAGAAGATTAATCTCAAAATATTTTCAATTTGTTCTCTTTGGGCAAAATAAATTTGCCAGAACTGTTTTTTTTTTTTTTCCTGTGGAGAGAAATTAATTACATCACACTCTGGCCTCTTCTATGAGCTGATGTTTCTGGGCGGCATCCCAGCTGAAGGACCACCTTCGGTTAAGGTGGCACTGGACTCTTGCAGAATTTAGCTACATGTCCTTGAGACGTTCAAGGTCCACAAGAGCGTTTGACAGGGTCTGCCTCCTGGGCCAAACAAAGGGACAATGACATGACTTTTCCTACAGTCACATCTTAACATTTACGTCCCAGTGGCGGCTCTCAGTACCTGTTCTTTTTTTTGTCTGTTGTCTCCCGCACCTGAAAGAATCCATGGTGACTTGTCACAGAGTGGCGTGTTTTTCTCCCTCACAGAAGGGTCACCTTAAAGAGAAGGTTAATAAAGACCAGAAACTGGAAAGAGAGATGGAAAAAAAACGAAAGAAGTGGAGTGGAAAGGGAGGGCAAGAACTGTGAGCTCTGCATTCCATCAGTGTCCCGGCCTTCGCTTCCTCCGCCCATTGGTGTCCGTCCCTCGCCCGTTCTTTGATCTCCGCACGTGGCCCTGTCACCGCTGCGCCCACTCTTCTACCCGCAGTGCAGTAATCCGGCCCCTGGGTGGGGGCTGGCAGGCAGGCGCTGGCAGACCAGTTGCCCAGGTACGGCTGACGCAATCCTGCATAACAGCTACCTGTTGAGGGCCGTCGCCATCTATTCAGAAGCGGGAAGGAGGGAACGTAGCAGCTCACGGAAGGATGAAAAAATGTCTGGAGTCTTTGGATTCATGGTTCAGCTCAAGAGCATCTCCAGATTCAGCCTTTGGAGATCGGATGTTTGTGACATCAGGGTAAACTCCATGTCACTACTAGGAGTAGGCGACACATAGGAGAGCTGCTGTCTGTTCCTTGGAAAGCACTTGGTCTGCTTTTGACAATCATGGCATTCATGCATTTTATGTGTTTCCTGGGTATAGAAGCCTGGCTGTTTTGCTTTTTTGAAATGGAGAAACAGGCTGAGAGTATTTTTACTGTATTGCAGTCTTATTAATATCTATATAAGAAGATAAAGATGTGAAATGTAACCATAATGTAATGATAACGATGCTTAACGTTTAATATAGTTTACCTTTCGTTGACTTCACCGTAATGCCAATGGTGAGGTGCAGTGGTATTGCTTTGCAGGAACAGACGTTTTTACATACTGAGGGCGATATTAATAAAAATTAGCAGCTCGTGGGTGGAGCTTTTGTGAGCATTAAGGGAAACATGAGATGTCCTCAGAAAAATTACTAAAAGTGAGAACTCTTCGGTTAGGGTGAAACCCAGAAGGCCTCCTTTTAAATGAGTGAATGACACCCTAGTTTTGCAGAAATGAATGAGTGCTGCCATAATTACCGTGTTTTATATTTCACAGCTTCCTGGGGCTCTGGAAGCTTCTTTAGGTGGTTTCCTGCAAACCCTGCTACCTCTACAGGGATGGATGCTTCAAATCTTTTCTTCTACGGAAATCAGAGAATCTTGATTCTTCTTTGAAAAGTCTAAATATCTTGCTTTGATTTAGAAGTTATTTGAATATCAAAAAATCTTTATAACTAGATTTATTAAACAACATTCATAATTCTGTGAGTTGGACTTTGATCATTTATACCATTATCTAGTGTTCTGCTGGGTCATAATGGTGGCACTTGTGAATTGAACACAGGTGCAAGTGCACAGGTGCTTGGGATATAACAATAAACTTATAATAGCATATAAAACTTTTTCAATTTGGATTGGAAAATCAAATGACAAGCCTTCACCAAAAACGTCAGAATTAGCGAATAATGCAATTTCAGTCTGACTGCATTTTCTGTAAGTAGATTTTTATTCCCAGCAGTTGCTCGCTGGGTATTTGATCAGTCTAGATATGGTCTTAAAAATGCAGGCAGGAGAAAACACCCCCTTCCCTGTAAGTAATGTACTCCCTGGGGAGAGAGTCATAGATGTTTAGAGGATTTTGAAGTGCTGTTAAAATCTGACTTGCTCCTCTTGCAAGCCAAGACAAAATGCAAAGTACTGTGTTTTATTTAATTGTGTGGCATTTTTCTTCAGTCCATGATGGTGTTTATTTTAATTTTACACCATGGTTTTCTGCTCAGTGTTATACTAATTTGTTGTGACAGAAGGTGGTTTTTAGTGTACTTGATTATTAAGGACTCTGCTCACTGGCTGTTTGTTTTTACTTTGGCTCCTCCTGGTGTCCTGGAGGCCTCATAATCCCTGATTATTGCATCCCTGGGGTAGTTGAGGTGAGATGGCACTCTTGAATTGTGTTTTATGGGGCATTTAAATCTACTGGACCCCAGACATTACAGTGGCTTGTAAAATTAATCTCATTGTGAGGAACTCAAACAGTTAGGCTTTTTTGCTTTATGTGTTGAAGCCGTTAGAGGTCAAGTGCAACAAATACCTGAATAGTTATGTCTGTTGGCCCTTAAGTGAGAACTTTAACCTCCAGCTCCCTGGGTGCCGCTGCAGGTGGCTGCTCTGTGCTGCCAAGCTTGTTCTCACCTACATAGGTACCTTTATAATGCAGTACAAAGCATCCTTAATGCTTATACTTACTATTATAATGCATTATAAAGGTATCTATAGTGCATTATAGATGAGACCTTCATAATGCATAATAAACATGGCTATAATGTGTTATGCCTTTTGATAAATGTAGCCATGTTTATAATGCTTTATGAATGCATTACTATTTGTTATGAATGTGTTTATAAATTACTAAAACATGGCTTTGAGTAAAGTATTACTTGAAGAATTATTGTACTGTACTAAATGTTTTCATATTGTGCTTTAATAATACACAATGTTTAAAATACAGCATTATCTGCAAAGTATGTACACTGCTTCATACAGTAATTAAAGGCATCTTACTCTACGGCAGGGCAGAGTAGCCTAAACTATCTAAGTGACTGTGGCAATATTCAATCAAGGCCCACATTGTTTAACGTCCTGTTTTACAGAACGTCATGTGGACGTTACATAGGGGATACCTGTATATGAGTTCAGGTGCATACTGTAGAGCAGCAGAACAGGAACCTTAGGGGGGTGTGCGATACACCTCTGGGGGGCCACAGACACTGAATTCTGCATGACCACCAACACAGACCCAACACTTCATTGAAATTTTAAACCCTGGACATGTTATCCTGCTCTGAAGGGACTTTGTGGCTTTCAGTGTAACTTGTGGTGAAACAAATAGCTATTAATTATCAAGGGTGTGAGATGCTTCTTGGCATGAGGTTATGTGGAAGAGTTTTCAGTATTTAAGACATTTATAATGTTTCGGTGAGGATGAGCCACAAATATGTGATTATATGAGTTAATCTTTGATTAATGTTACAGGTTCCCTGAAGAGGAAATGCTTTTTTAAGCAAACAGCTTTAAAAGCTGACTGGTTCATAAAGAAAACGCTGCTATTTGTCTCGATTGGAAAGCTGTCTCTTCTTCTTGGACAGAGCGGCCCAGAAGCTGAACCTCTCCTCCAAGAAGAAGAAGCCACACCCAGCACCACCGCCGATGTGTGACCCGCCTCCTTTCCCCACCAACTTCAGTGGAGTGCTGCAAACATCACCACCGCCCGCTCCACCCTGCCTGCTCCGCGCCGTCAACAAGGTTAAAGACACCCCCGGACTGGGCAAGGTGTGTCACCGTGTCCCTCAGGCTGTCTGTCCCCTCACCCAGCAAGTGTGGCTGTGCTCAGTTAGCGTCATACACTGTCATTACAGTCTATTGGGGGCCACTTTCCTTACCCAGAAGTAACCAGACCCAATTTCCTTACCCAAAAGTAACCAGGCCCACTTTCCTTACCCAAAAGTAACCAGGCCCACTTTCTTTACCCAAAAGTAACCAGGCCCACTTTCTTTACTCAAAAGTAGTCAGGCCCACTTTCCTTACCCAAAAGTAACCAGGCCCACTTTCCTTACCCAGAAGTAACCAGACCCAATTTCCTTACCCAAAAGTAACCAGGCCCACTTTCCTTACCCAGAAGTAACCAGGCCCACTTTCCTTTTTGTGCAGTTTGGTGTTTTCTTTCTGCTTACGGATCACTGTGACAGTACAATGGCTCAGTGGGTCGCACTGTTGCATTGCAGTTCCTGGGTTCCTGCCTATGCATATGAGTTCCATCCAGTAACGTGCAGTTAGGCTAATCACTGCCTCTACATTGCCCATAGTGTGACTGTGCCTTGGCGCCCTGTTCTTGGTGCTTTGCAGCCTTGTGCCCTGTGCTGCCTGGGATGGGACTGGGATAAGTAGCTGATGGATGGATGGGGGGGAAGTTAGTAATTGGTTGTTCAGTTTATTTCCATCTCATTCGAGGCCTCCTAGGAATCACAATGCCTGCTTTTCTTTCTATTCCATTCTCAGTAATCTGAAATCTCCTTCAAATAATTCCTGTTTATTTACCTTTTACAGTAAGGGTATGTAACGGTTTTCACAGCGTGGGAGTGACCACAGGGACCGGAGAAACAGGTGGTCACCTTGTCCACCAGTGTGTCTGCAGCAGCGCTGGTCGTGTACCCTGGGTCAGACGGCGGTGCAGATCAGAATTCAAAATGCCATTTGCCATTCTGCAATATGTGCATTATTACCAGCAGTATGGACTGTGTGTATGTGTGTGCGCGTGTGTGTGTGTGCGTGTGTGCAGCTTATGTTTATATTACATTGTGGGGACCAAATGTCCCCCACAATGTAATAAAAACCTTTTATCTTTACATTGTTGGGACCATTTTTCAAGTCCCCAAAAAGATCTGTAAATGCAATCAAAAAAACTAAAAACTCCAAAAGCCTTGTATTTTGTTTTGTTACTTATGGTTAAGGTTAGGGCTGGGTAGGGGTTAAGGTCATCATTTTGGGAGTATAGTTTTCCCCATAGAAATGAATAGAAATGGATAGTCCCCACAAAGATATAATTACAAACCTGTGCATGTTTGTGTGTGTGTGTGTGTGTGCGCAACAGAAGAATGGAAAAAAGTGACAAAAAAGTTTATGTATGGCCCTGGATTTTGTTTTGCGACTGTAGTTTTCCATTTACTGTTTTTTAAAAACGTTTAGTAAGTTAAAGGTTTATGAAGACAGTAAATCACAAAAGAAGCATGGTGTTTATGTTCCCACTCGTGACAAATAGGCTATGGAGCAACTAAGGAAATGGTTGCGTCCTTCTGAGTAGTTTCAGTAAATGTCAAGCTGTACTTCAGGCTACTTAAGCATGTTTAACGGTGAGCCCTAATTCAGCTGCCCGTTCTAATCCCCTGTCCTATGTGCCTCTTCGGTCAATCTCTGGATGGGTAGCTGGATGGACACCAGCATACATGAGGAAGGAATTAGAGGTAATGCCCAAACGGTTAGGTGAACCCAGGAGGAGGTAATGCTGATGGGAAGGGGTGAGAGAGGGGGGGGGCAGCTAAACCCTGGCAATCCGCCATTGCGGCAGGCTTAAACCCCCACGCGAGCTGCGACATCCGTGCCCCCCCCCCCCCCGCCGGTTTTGGGGGGGGGGGGGGC